GCTTCATATTACTTATAGCACTTCATATTACCTATAGAACTTCCCTTCTTTCTAATTCTTTCTTCTAAAATATTCACGTAGTAATAAGCCAGCCAAATAAATGTTTTGTATTTATTAACACAGAAAATGTTCTATATTAACACCAAAAAGGATTCACCACAATGACCTGAAGTCAACTTAGAATTTAAACAAATATTTTTTTAAGATAATAAAGTAATATTATAATTAATTAGGATAATTGGAGTCAGCTAGGCACAATGCTAGGAAAGAGAAAGTTGGTAGAAACACAGCAGAAATAAGACCCGAGCCAAAAGAGAGCACACATAGCATGGGCAGTGGGGCACAGGGCGTAAAATGAAGCTGAAAGAAGAAAAGGGCACATTGGGTCATATTAGAGGTCGATTTTAGCTCTTTTAGTAATCACCACACTGTCCTTCAGGGCATATATCCAGAGGAACTCACATCATTCTACAAAAAAGATACCTGCCCACGCATGTTTAATGCAGCAGTATTCATCATAGCAAAAATATGGAACAAATCATGCTGCCCATTGAAAGTAGACTGGATTTAGAAAATGTGACATATATGCACAATGGAATATTATACAGCTATAAAGAAGGACAAAATTATGAACCTCTTAGCAACTTGGATGGATTTAGAGCTGTAATACTCAGTAATACTCTATCATCGAAACAAAGAACTGAGTACCACATATTCTCACTCATAGGCAGACCCTGAACAATACATGATACAATATATCATGATATAATAATACATGATACAATAAGGAAGAGATTGGCAGTAGTGGGAAACTGCTGGCAGGGCGGGGTGGGGCGGGGGAGCGGTGGATGGGGCACACTTAGTCGATAAGGGTACCTGATCTCAAACCAGGTAAGTGAGGACCAAAGTGAGGGCCAAAACTTTACCCATACAATTACTATTTGTATATCTAACCCTGAATTGTACCCTACATTTTAAAAATAAAAATAAAAAATAAACAGAAAAGGGCACGTGATCAGAAAGGCTTAAGGGGCTACCGGAGGGATGCTGGACTTTAAGAGGATTAGGACCTTTGAAGAGATTTACCCAAGAAAGTTGCGTGGTTGGATTTAAGCTTTTCAGGATATCCTTCTAGCTGGTGATAGCAAGGGCAAAAATGAATAGGGGGAGAGAAGTCAGGACACCCCTGCAGTGACTCTGTAGAAGATGATAGAGGCTGAAAGACAATGATAGAAGTGAATATGGGAAGCAGCAAACATAATTTAGAGAAAGGAAATATGTATGTGTTATGTATGGGGAAAAACGTTTAATAAAAAGCAACAAATATTTGATAAATGAATGTATGAATGGTTTTAAAAAGATGCTGGCTTTCTTTCTTTTCTTTTCTTTTCTTTTCTTTTTTTTTTAGTTGGACTCTCACTCTCTTGCCCAGGCTGGAGTGCAGTGGCACTGCTCATGGCCACTGCTGCCTTGGCCTGCTGGGCTCAGACCATCCTTCCACCTCAGTCTTTCAAGTAGCTGGAACTATAGACGCATGCCACTACGCGGGCTAATTTTTTGATATACTATAGAGACAAGGTCTCACCAAGTTGCCCAGGCTAGTCTTGAACCCCTGGACTCAGAAAATCCTCTCACCTCAGCCTCCCAAAGTGCTGGGATTACAGGCTTGAGCCACCACACCCAGCCAGATGCTGACTTTCAAAAGGCCTTTTATAGTGGGTTTTCTTTCCTTAATAAATTGAGCAAGGTGAGTTGTCTTGGTCATCACTTTACAAAAATTTTTAAAAAACAAGAAAACATTAACTTTTATGTTCTCCTCCATGTACTCCAAGATAAATGATGCTTATAACTTTAACCCAAGCATTCTAACATCACTCATACCATTTTGAAATACATATCATACAGATTCTTATTTTATTTTATTTTGAGTCTGCCACCTATGCTGAAGTGTAGTTGCACGGAACACAGCTCACCACAGCCTTGACCTCCTGGGTTCAGGAGATACTTCAACTTTAATCTCCTGAGTAGCTGAGTCTACAGGCACACATCACAACACCAGGCTAATTTTTTTACTTTTTTGCAGAGATGAGGTCTCACTATGTTGCCCAGGCTGGTCTCAAACTCTTAGGTGTAAATGATTCTCTCGCTTTGGCCTCCCATGTATAGAGTCTTATTTTTGTTCCAAAAAAAAAAAAATGCCAGGTTTTGTGTTTTGCTTAATGTTCTAAATCATTATTGTTTTTCTTAAATTCTTTTTTATAAAATTTAAATTTTTAAAATTTTGTCCTGATTTCTTTACAACCACTGCTTAACTAGTTAATATAATGTATTTTAAATGAAATGAAACTTCCTTCAGATTCAGGAAAATACTAAGGAATATTTTCTGGAGATATCTTTCTACTGTCTCTCTTCCACATGATCCCTTAGCCCACAGAAGACCATCTTTCCCACTTCACTGAGGAGAGTAAGTAGAAATCCCTCAATTTGCTACCTTACTCAGGTCCTCCCAGCATATCTGCATCACACCTATTCTTATTTATTTCATCCAGTCTCAGTGGAAAAGTACCCTCCTTTTTCGCTTCTTATAGCCTGGTGGAAATACATCCTTCCTGGAATCCAATGTAGTGGAATTGCTCTGTCACTGCTTTGGATTGTATTGCCTACACATCCTTTGGTCATAACTCTAATTCTCTTTTCCTATGTCCTTAATTTCTCCATCATTAGTTCTTTCCCATGAGCATATACACATTCAGAATTCTTTCATCTTAAAACCATCCTCTATACCCTGCATAACAATGACACAATTTCTTTCCTTCCCTTACTAAAGTTTTAAAAAGCATCATCAAATGCTGTTTATATTCTTCTGCTCATTTTGAGAGTTAGGTATGTTTCATTAATATACTCATTTAAAAGAAAAAAGAAGACTCAGCAAGGTTAGATACTTTCCAAAGACTATGTAACCTAGAAGGCAACTTAAACAAAATTCAAATCAAGATGTTTTCATATAAGGTTTTATTTGCTTGGTAACATATAATTTGCTGCCACTAATATTACTAAATGTAATTGTTGGCTTATTTGTGTTTAATTGTTTTTGAAACACTAATATCATAAAGATTCAACCCACATTACCCAAAGAAATACATAAGAATACTTTGATAACAAACTGAGCTTTTGAAATATTTGGCAGTACTAAGAACAAGTCATAAATCTACAGGTAAACAAAAGCTTTTATCATTGATGAACTGGACAAAAAAAGTTTAAAAATTACCTAAAAGGTATATTTGAAGAATAGGACAAAGAATGAAATTTATTTCTAATTTTTAACCTGGAAAAAGATGTTACATAAATATTAAGGTTTTATTCACTTATTTCTCATAGTACTTTAAATACACAACACAAATAATAAATAAAGTATTACTTGTGTTTTATACTACAGAATAATAGGCACAAAGATGCAATTTATACTAAAGTGAGTAAATACAATATAATAAATATATTTTTGTTCCTATTTAATTTATCCAGATTCAATTTCATCAGGAACAAATAGTATAAAAAGCTAACACTATATTTTAAAATGAGAGTACAACTGTACATAATTCAACAATATAATGACTACTATCTCAACTAAGTAGTACTAAGAATTACAAAATGCTATCACTTATAGCAGATAATGTCTAGTTTGCACCACTATGTTTTTATTTTTCTAATTCCTTGGCTAGCCTTTTTCTTTATGTTAGACAAATGGTGCCTTCAAGAAAATTAACTGAACTAATCGCTGATCAAGTACATCAAATAAAGTTATAAAACTTCAAAAAAAAAGAAAATTAACTACTTAATGTCAATACACCTTTGACACTGAAGTCTTTAACATATTACTTTATTCTGTAAACATTCATTGAAGACCCCAGGAACTATGTCAGGCATAGAATGTAGAAAGATGGAAAATGGGTGACATAGTTGTTATCTAAGGTAGCTCAAGAAGAATGTCAGTAGCACACAAAAGTCACAGGTGATCTCATGAAACTTCTGAAAGTGCATTCTTAAATAAAAGCATTTAACCAATTTAACATATAGCATATGAAAGTTACATGAAATTGTAATTTAATACATCCTACATATTAACAACTAGCATGGTCTCAAAATTACTATATTTCTCACATCATACACTCTAAAGAAACAATATAACATTTTTGGTAATATCAAGGACTACAACTATTTTTTGTTTTCAGAAAGTGCAAATTAGCTGCTTTTTTGCCTATACGAAGTCCTACTAGTGTTGAAAAGTAAGGTGAATGCTTTCATATCTGCAAGGTAGAGCTTTCTGAGCATACAAAAGTGAAACTTGGGTTAAGAAACAAATTTTGAGAATGAGAAGATGATTGAATAGATACAGACTTCAGAAAAAATTTACCTCCCAGGAGGTTAGTGTTAATATTTCACAAGGGGGTAGAACTCGGACGCATATATTTATGCTACAGAGTACCTGTTTATATTAGAGAGGTTTCTCTATCTCTCTCAGGAGGGCAGCTGTTAAAACAGCTCCTATATAGATGCCCAGATTCATAATTTTGGGGTTCCTCTTCTGTGGTATAAAATCCCCTTTTTGATACTTGTTAATGTCACCATCTTACTCTCATCACGCTGAGAGGAGAGAAGATGAAATGTGAGGAATGGATGTGCTAACTGCTCTAAGAAATAAGTCTGTCTTCATCCAGAAACTTTGTATTTGTGATCAGAACAAAATGAATATAGTTATTAAAAATTTACCATGTTTTCAATTAGGATTTAAGAGAAAACAGTATTTTTGAAAACAGAACTTTATTATACTTATTTTCAGGTAGCTCAAGTCACCCCGATAGTTAATCAAAGATCTTATTCAGCAAAGACAATACATTCGCCTTTATCATTTTGTCATAAGACTTCAATACAATAAAAAGTAATGGTAGTTTAGAGTACAAATGTACGGAAACCTATAGAAAAGAAAAATAACAATCACTTACTTGATATTATCAAGACAGCCTGATTCAGGTTTCAGTATGGCAGTATGATGAAACATTTTATATAAAGCAATCCCAAGGAAGATTACATTAAGCTGGAATACAAAAGGTAATGTTATGTAGCATAACTGGAGTAGGAAAAAAGTAAGTCTATTCTCTGTAACAGGTGAGTTGTTCTGGGAAATTAGCTCTCACCACACTTTTAAAGGAATTGGGTCATAGATGACGGCCTAGTGTCTTAGCAAAGGCAATAAGTCAGTTTTGGGAATTGGGATGCCACTGAGTTACAATATACTGCTATGCCAAATCACACAAATACAAAATCAGCAGTAGTGGAATGTTGCTGTGGACTTTCTGAAACAACTCAAAGACTAGTGTACATTAAAAAAACAAAACCAATAATTTTTCCAGGTATGCTCCTATATCTGCACTCTGAACATTACTCTAAATTTACTGTTTAGGAGTAAATTTTCAAATATTACATAAAATACTAAAATCAATATACTTTTGAATAACTAGTTTGATAGGATTATAAAATATTGGTTAAATTCTGATATTACAACAAACAAAGATTAAAGCAGAAGATACTCCAAATATACTATTATGTCACTGGAACCAGAGAAAGCACATGATTTAAAACTAAACAAAACAAAACAAAAAGCCCCAGTGTAAATGTTATATATCAAATACAAGTAAACTGTACAGAAAGCCACATACTGAATTGCCCTTAACTAACTGACTCATTTCATGCTTCACAATTTGGGATTAGTGGGGGGACAGAAAAGTCCAATTAAAAGCTCCATTTAGATTCTCTCAATTATACAGATTCAAAATCCTTTATCAGTCATTCTCAAATCCAAACAGTATAAAAAGTGAAAGTTATTAAAAATTTCATTCAGTGCCCAAAAAGGCTTACATGAGCTAATTCCATTTGGTAGAAAAACCTAATCTGAATCAACATAAGGCTACCCATGGTCCTTTTTTTTTCCCCCTCAGTAAGAGTCTCACTGTCACACTGTCACCCAGGCTGGAGTTTAGTGTCACGCTCACGTCTACTGCTGGGCTCAGGCGATCCTCCTGCCTCAGCCTTCCAAGCTGGAACTACAGGCACCTGCCACCATGTCCGGTTACATTTTTTTTTTTTTTTTAATTTATTGTAGAGATGAGGTCTCACCAAGTTGGCCAGACTGGTCTCGAACCCATGGGCTCAGGCATTGCTCTCACTTTGGCCTCCCAAAGTGCTGGGATTATAGGCGTGAGCTACTGCACCAGCCAAAAATACTTTCAATAGGATCGGTATCAGCTTCTTCTTGTTTGTTTTGTAGAACTCTTCTGGAAAACCGTCGGGTCCAAGACTCTTTTTTTTTTTTTTGTAGGTAGTTTTCTTTTTCTTTTCTTTTTTTTTTTTTGAGTCAGAGTCACACTCTGTTGCCCAGGCTGGAGTGCAGTGGCAGGCTTATGGCCACCGCAGCCTGGACCTGCAGGGCTCAGGCGATTCTTCCGTCACAGCCTTCCAAGTAGCTGGAACTGCAGGTGCATGCCACCACACTGGGCTATGTCCATGGTATTAATAATTCCATTTGCTCTTATATTTCCTACTTATTTTTTCTACTGAAATATTGTTGTCTTTGGTTATACAGTGCTGCTGACTCCCTACTCTAAGTATTGGATGGTATGTTTGATTTTGAGCTACTCTCTATTCCGTACTTGGGATATTATATTTTGTGTAGTACATGTATCATATAACCTTTCTAAAATCTGAAAGATTTCTGCATTCCAAAATATACCTGGCCCTGAAGATTTCTGATAAGAAATTGGAGACCTATATTTTACTCAAAGTTAAGAGGCTAACATTTTATCCAAAAAATGGATAAGAGTTTTGTATTTTAAAAATGATAAAAATGGTAAGTATACAAACAATGATACAATTTTACCTAAATTCAGATAAGTAATCCATTTTTGAAATAAAGATATTATACATCTAAAAATAAAAAAGGAAGCATGATTAAAAATGCATGTCTAATTTGGGTGTGCCATTCTCAAGTAAAGTCTTTAAAATTAAAGTTTTCAAGATTTATGTAAAAAGAAAAGCTGAAAGGAACAGTCACATGTTTCCTTACCTTTCTAATTCCTATTCATTCCCCATTCAAATTTTCCAAAAGCATAAGAATAGAAATATACTGCTGTCAAACTTAAAGTCATCACTGTTCAAATATCTATAAAACCAAATGGGTTATGTTGGATTGGACCCCTAAATGGCTACAACATTGCATAAAATCTTGCAAAGGCATGTTTTCTTCTCCCACTAGTTTTGACAAACTATCTTACAACATAAAAGTAGACTATAATGAGTGTCTAATTGCTTGAGCTATGTAGGGTCACATAAGTATATGCGTTCCCCAAATCAACCTCTGTAAATTAAAGGCAGTCAATACAGGAATAGAGGAAGTTTTATTTCTTGACCTGGGAAACACATAGTTAATTAGGAGTTCTTACCATAATTATCAAGGTCGCTGGTCCTATAAAACTCCAAATGAAGTAGGTGTCAAGTCGTAGCCAACATCTGCAATGAAACACAAGGGAAAGAAGGCATTCAAGGACTGGGAATGGAACATACATCAAGAGTGAGCGAGTGACAGAGAAAAATGTGAGCTGCAAAGCATTCCACTGGGAGACAGGAAATATTACATTGCTTGTTCATTTAAATGCTGAATTATGTGCCCAATTTCTGACAGCACTATTGATGGAGTAAGATAATTACCCCTGGAGGAAGCAAGAAAAAAATGGCACTGGGCCTATTTGCTAAGGCCTTTGTGTCCGTCATAGAAACCTTTAAAAAAAAAAGGAAGAAAAAAAGAGAAGGAAAAAGCCATACACAGAGCCATTAAATCGGGTAGCTTTAAGCTATCCTTTTCTCTCCAATTATGGTGCTACATAACCTGTCTATCAGCTGTCAGGCAAAGTGACATTTTCCTGTCAAGAAGATCTAAGGAAACTCAGTACAAAGAAGAAATAAATTTGGTATCAGAAGATTGAAGTTTAATTAGGTTGGGCAGCCAACCTTTGAGAGTTCTGGAGTCTTAAAAAAGTGTATTGTTACTGCTAGTACTTCTTGGGTTGCAAATGATCCTTAGCATCCCATGAAGTTGATTCATGACCCAAAAGTAAATTATTAATCACTTAATTTCAGCTACATTTAATACTCTCCCAATTCCTAATGCCTCTGGGAAATTACATTTCATTCCTCAGGGTGACAGGAAGACAAAATGGAAGTGACTAGTTATGAGAAAGATTAATGTAAATTTTGAACAAATTACATTTGATGTTAAAAAATGTCTTGAATTATTTGCCATTTTGCTGTATTTGAGGCATTATTATACAGAACATGTGTCCAGTGGTAAATAACCAAGAGTGGTTTCCTACATGGTCTAAACCTGCAAATTCTGAGTACTTATTTTTTTGATTATAAAAATGTTACTTTAAACTAAGCAATAATGGAATACTGAAAAGCCTATTAAGAAAATAATTTATAAATACTTATCAATAAGGGAATGTATAAATAAAATATTTTCTATTCATCTGATGAAATATTAAAGTGCAGGAAGTAGATCTAAATATATCAATAGGATAAGTTAAAAAATTTCAGTAAAGACTCTATACTATAAATATATCCAGATCTATCTATCTATCCATCTATCTATCTATCTATCTATCTATCTATCTATCTATCTATCTATCTATCTACCTACCTATCTCAAATATGGTATACGTTATACATATATACACACATATATATTTAAAACCACAGACTTAAGGGAATACTTTATATTTTTGATGTATGTGTATATACATGTACATTTTTTAAATGTAAAAGAGAAAAATCATCAAACTCATGTCATTGGTTGCCTCTCACATGAGAGTAGAAAGGATCAAAAGTGGACCAAAGGAGCTTCAGCCATATGTTTTATTTTAATGATTACTGAAAGCAAATATGCTATAACACTAACAGATTTAACATCTCAATGATGAAGGCAGTAATGTTTATCATGGTTTTTGGTTTTCTTTTCTGTAACTTTAGAATATTTTGTAAAAAAAGTTTAAGAGCTAGGCATTAAATTAAAAGAAAAACAAAAACAAATTCCATACAAAAAATAAATTTTAAAACAACAATGTATGTCTGGACTTCCTTTAAGTTCAACACATGTAAACTAATTTCAATAGAAGTACAATAGGTACTCCAGTAAAGTACTGGTTACAAGTTCATATTTTTTACATAGACAAGATAATTTATCTTTATTCAAAGTAAGCATAATAATCCTGTTTGAAAAAAATGCTACCAATGAAGAAATTAATGCTCAGTTGTTAGCCATTAGATTGCTTGAATAATTAGTTGTCCTTTTGTTGTGGTGGTGTTCAAAAAATGTGGTCATAGAAAATAGGAGTGTGGTGCTATCTATAAGCAAAAACAAACCAGAGAATTAAAGGTTGAAATATGAACACTGTCTTCATTCTTACCGTAAGCTAGCTTGTTACCACTCTAATAAAAGTGTGTGTGTGTGTGTGTGTGTGTGTGTGTGTGTGTGTGTGAGAGAGAGAGAGAGAGAGAGAGAGAGAGAGAGAGATTCAAGGGGGAAAATTTTTCATTGATCTCTCTGGGTTCTAAACAGAGATCAAACTTTATCACAGGGTAAAAAACACTAAAGAACAAGGTATGGACGTTTTCCCAGATTAAACCAGACACACAAACACACACGTGCATGCGTGCACACACTTGCAGCCCAGAAATATTGCTAAAATTATAGTAACACAATACAATATTAATAATACACTTAAGGATGATAGCTAATAGTACAGCTCCTGTTATTTTGTAGGTCAAACAAGTTTTTGAGAGCTAATCTGAGAACTAAAACACATTTTTAGCAATTTTTTAGGAAAATGTGCCTTAAGATCTCCTAAAAAATGTTATTTTACAAGGAACTTTATACAAATACCTTTAATTATATTATTTCAGTTGTCTTGGACTAAGCGAATTTAAAATTTTACATAATCTCATCAAATGTTTTGTTAAAATAATATCATTAAATTATCATCTTACAAAACTTTATTTTTTGAAAATGATCTAAGTTTAGCAAATGCTCTGTTTAGAAATGTGCTTTTTAACACAGTCATCTCCTCTAAATGTGAAAGGACAATTAGAAATTATTATTTTTATTCTTTAAGAAAAATTGTAAATCTCTATTTGGTAAAATAGATTTAAGTTCCCTTTGGAATGGAATAGCAAAAGAGGCAATACACTGGTAAAATATTCTGAGTAAATCATGCTTCCATGAGAGCTGTCCTGTCTTTACTATCTTCTGGAAAGCTCTATGGCAAGAATCCCTTTTCTAATTTGATTGCCATATGGCCATACCTGCTGTTGTTTTTGGCCACATGCTGGCTTTCTCAAAGCTTTCTGTATTTCTTCCCTTTCCCATTAACTACTTTTAAAAATTGCACTATTTCTGTCCCAGTTCACTGTGCCTATGTTGAAACAATTCACCCTGGCTTTGAGATGAAGAAGAATGCTATGTGGGGTGTAGATAAAGAAGAATGTTATGCAAGGTGTAGATATACATGCCGGGGCACATACATCCTGCCTCATACTATTCTGTAAGTCTGGCCATTCAATGTCATTTGGATACAATGTAGAAACACTGATTATGGAGACACCAGGTCAGATTAGTGAGGCCAAGCTGAAGGAGCAATTTACCTCACTAAATGCTATGAAATACAGCTTGTGAATGGCCAGATAGCTATTGAAGAATACAATATAGCTGAAATTTGCCTCTAACCACCAAGCAATATTTAATTTGTGAAGTTAGAAATTTTGATAAATGATTCTTGTTTAATTTTTAAGATATCTCAACTTCTTTTTGAAAGATGAAATTCAATTGTATGTGTGTAATCTAGACATTATGTTTACAGAAGTACAGAACAAAAGATATGATTTAAGGTTGAGAAAACAAATACATTCTGAACACACTACATGTTTATTTGAAGCAATACTAAAAATCTTTGGAAACCAGATTTATTCCGAAATTCAAAGAAACATTTGTCACACACCACAAACCTTGACTTGTCTTTTTAAAAATTAATTTATCTAATACAAATATGTCATTGAAATTCTTTTTTGTAGCCTAATTTTTTTCAAACAATGAAAGCAAAATATATTATTGTTAGATACATGGTGAAGTCTTATTGAGCTAATACAAGTTTATTGGTCTCAGCATTCTAAAGAACTGGTGGTGCTAATCCATGAGAATACATTGTTATTTTCACCCTGAATTACTATTTTCCCAAAATATAAAAAAAATACAAATTCATAATAAAGGTGTTGATATCTGTATCATTCTCCCATTTTAAAAATGTCAATTACCTGCCCAACAAGTATCACCTTCATATTTACTCAGAAGAGAGGAAAATAAAATAATGAGCCAAATGGATTTCTCAAAACGGGACAATAGAAAGCCACACTTCTAAACTTTAATCTCTTCTACTGCTACACTACTCCTATCATTTTATTATCACTGGTCTTTTTGAATAGGCATAATTCTGTATGCAGAAAAATGGTAAGACCAATTACCCAACACATATAAATGTCACCCAAGACATAAGTTTTACAATGCTTTTAGATACCAATAGGACTACCAAGGTGTAGTTCCTTATTCAACATTAACAGGTGAAGGTTGTGTCATTAAGATACTTTGAGACATGTTTTGTTATCAGTTTAATTCAGTCTTATCAAAGTAGACACTTGACTGAAGTCTTCTGAAGTAATGAAAATTAGCAATGGTGTTTGTTTCGTTTTTCAGAGTACACTAAATCACAGACTAAACTATTCTTGGTAAGTGATAAATGTAATCAGTAAACAATCTTTGGCTACTATTAGACCATAAAATTAACACAGTTTAATTTTATCAGGTGTTTATGATAATTTTTAACTATATAATGTCTTTTGTTGTAACGTATGCTGATATCTCTCTACTGTGTTATACAAGAGGGCACCCCCCCATAAAAACAGAATTATCTTTTGGAGGCTGAGACCCTTGTAATACAGGCTTCCCTTGCTAGGTAAGCTTTCTAGAAACCCATTAACATCAGTGTACCAACTAGTATTGTTGTGAAAGGCTGCATTGGACTTCAATTATTTATTTATTTTTAGAGTCTTTTAATGGGTCATGATGGGTAATTTAAAAGCTCATCTGCCCACACCGCGTTAAGTATCCAACAGTTTTTGGTCGAACACAGCATGACCTCCCATGCTTTACCTGCCCCATTCACCTGATCTCACCCTGAGTGACTTTATTTTTGTTTCCCTGGATGAAAAAGTCCTCAAATGAAAAGTTTTGCCAATGTGGACGAGGTGAAAAAAAGAAGACAGAAGCACCAAAGGCATAAAAAATGATGATGCAAAATTTGTGAGCGGTAGAAAAAAAGCATCTTGATAGGTGTAGTGCATCAAATGAAGAGGACTGTGAAAGTGACTGAAGTTTAAACATGTAAGAATAAATACACATACACAAT